CTCTAGCTTCATCAGGGGCGAAACGGCGAGGGAAATCGTACCAACCCCCCCCCCCCCCCTCGGACGGCGCGTATGTAGAAAACCAATAGGTCCGGCGAGGGTGTGTCATTGAATGGGAACATGCAACATATGTATATTTGAGCTTGCACCGTTCTCAGAAAGGTTCAGAACAGCCGTTCCCACGACGGTTGACCGAAAGCGCCAAACTTGACCAAATCTCAAGAAACCTACCCTGAAAATTCCATGAACCTGACCCAAATGACCTTAGACCTGTGACCTTTTTCGGGGGGGAACATGTCAGGGGGCCATAAAATATGCATCGCACAACCCTAGTAAAGTTGGTTCATGTGCTGACCCTTGGTGACCTGACCTGTGACCTGACATGGTATTATCAGTGATCTCTAATAGCAACATATACATACATACATACATACATACAACATACAACATATACAATATACATACATACATACATGTATACTAGGCAACGTACGCCCCATTGCTGATTTTCGACAAAATGCGTAAGCGTTTGACTCTTTGTTACGTATATAGCGCATTCCCTAGAAGACCTGTGAACGGCGAAGCATTTTATCTTTGACCTGACCTTTGAATGAAATCAGCCAGGAACAGTGACGTACCCAAGGGGGGGGCACGGGGGCCATGGCCCCCTCCTGAGCGCTGAAGGCGCTCAGAGGGCCCCTCAGGCCCTGGTATATTTTTTTTTTTCAAACACTGGATAAAACGTCTTTTACTAGAAAGAAAAAAATGATATTAAAGTTTCATTTATGTGCCCCTGGTTACCCGAGGGGCCCCTGATGACCCGATGGGCCCCTGCAGTCATCCGAGGGCCCCGGTTTCCTGGCCCCTAGTCGCCTAGGAGGCCCCTGGTAGCCGGGGCCTGGTCGCATGGGGGCCCCTGATTGTCTGGGGTCCCTAGTCGCCTAGGGGGCCCTGGTAGCCGGGGGGCCTGGTCGCATGGGGGCCTCTGGTCGCATGGGGCCCCTAGTCGCCAAGGGGGGCCCTGGTAGCGGGGGGCCTGGTCGCATGGGGGCCCCTGGTTGCCTGGGACCCCTGAGGGCCCCTGGTTGCCTGGGGGCCCCTGGTCGCCTGGTTGGCCTGGGGCCCCCGGGTGACCTAAGGGCCCCTTCGGAAGCAGGTGGCCCCCTCCTGGGCGAAATCCTGGGTACGTGCCTGGCCAGGAAAGAACGGCAATATTTTTAACCAGTAAAACGCCTTTTGGGGCGACCAACGGAGCGAGCAAGAGGATGGGCCTTGGACAAGCGAAATTGCAAGGGACTCCTCCAACTAACTTGTGCACTGCACACTACTAACCGGTCCCTAGCGATGTGCCAAATTTGAGCGCAATCGGCCTAGCCGTTCTCGAGATCTGGAAGCGGCACCCTGCACGTGCGCACGTGCAAAATGGGTCCCAACTGACTTTTGCACGGCACCCTACTAACTGGTCCCTTACCATGTACCAAAGTTCAGCACAATCGGTTCAGCCGTTCTCGAGATCTGGAATCTACCCCTGCACGTGCGCACGTGCAGCAGCGCCCCAACTGTGGCATATGGATATGCATTGCCTAGTGGGTGCCTACTTACATACCAAGTTTCAGCGCAATCGGCCGAGTAGTTACCAATATATTGCAACAATTACAAAACTGACACCTCTTCGTTTTGCACGTGGCACGTGCATAAGCGGTCACCCAGATGCATCGAGAATAGTCCAATACTTGATAAAAGGAATGAAGCTACCCTACAAAAATTATCGCATGTTAATCGGTCAAGCGGTTGCTGAGATATAAGCCTCTCAAAAGCGTAACCACGGCCGGCCGGCCGCTCATACTCAGAAATGTCCGTTAACCCGCGAGTTGCTGGGGGGGGGCGTTAAACGCCCCCACTTTTTTCGCCGGGCCATAGCATAAAAACGGCGCGCCGCAGGCGCGCCAAATTTTGGGTACCTGTAGGGAATTGATTGAAGTTTATTGTGACAAACTTTCAAAAAAATCGGTCGGAAAATTTTTGAGATATCGAGGTTTTAGTGACGTCATGATTTCTGAGTTTTCGACCAAAAACGGCATATGTTCAAAAAATCATACCTATAAAATCACAGAATAGACATAAAGACATGCAGTAAACGCCATTGGACTGCAAATACCATGAACAATCAGATGGCTATCTTCGATTATTGATTATCGTTCCGCATTTTCCAAAATCTTGAACTGAATCTTGGCAATTTCTCGTGACTACTTCACGACCATGATACATGCATTTCTTAAATTGAACTTTTTTAGCCAAACACGTACACATATGATAAAATGAATGTCACCATCGTGCTCTACGCCCCAAATTACCCATAAAACATGTGTCAGGCTGCGAATATCAGTTTTTATTTTCGGGGATATGTGCCTGCCCGGTTGACCTGACCTTGACCCTGACCTATGCTTGACTGACCCCTGCATGGAGCTGACACTCTTGTAGGCCTTATATGATGGATTGTGCACCGTTTTGACAGAGTTTATGACGAGAGGCGCACATTGCAAAGTCCTGAAGTCCGTGCTACTGAAAGAAGCCCGATTTCAGGTGTTTGACCTGACCTTGACCTGACCTGTGACCTCAAAATTCAACTTTAAAGTACTCATCTGAAGCGTCTCGTCGCGTTCTTTCTTTTGCCGCCTCGTGCGTTTCGCTGCGCCTATTGGTTCTCGAGTTATCGGCTGGGGGCGTTTAACGCCCCCCCCCCCCAGCAAACGGTGGGTGGCGAAATACCCCAGCAACTGCCGGGTTAATCTACGAAAGACTACGCTCGCTTCGCTCGCTCCGTAATTATTTCTTCAGACTAACAATGCCTCAGCCATATTGGCACGCTACTGGCTGAAAATAAGTTGCTTAAAAAGACCCACTGAATCGCCACGATTTTAAGTGCATGTCATCTCTATGTATATAAGATCTCTATGCTATCGATAACATGCGTTGTTGTCTGGTAGGTTTTCTGATGTGTTCGAGCTCAGTGACACGGCCGATATAGGGCAGTTGACCTTTGAACTTTCGTCTGCCGGTGTGTGACACCTGGGCGCTGCCGAGAGGGAAGGGAGGGGAGGGGAGGGAGAAGTGCTTGACGCGTCCTGCACGTGCGTATGGGCTATGGGACTCTCAAACGGATGCCTTTTTTTGCAGCAACTGCTTTATGTAAGGCCAGATATGATGCGGAGAAATAAGCTTATAAAAATAGGGCCGTTATGCAACACCCGGAAATAAAACACCGTTCCATGCAAAGGTCAGATATAAAGTAGTAGGTATAAGCTATGTCATTTGTTGGAAGCCTGAATAGTTCCTTTCTATTGATGAACCAGAATGAATGCGAGTTCCAACAAGAAAATGCCAAAAGTTCAGGATTTCATAGCTGCAGTGCTCCTACGACCTACCTGCTTCAATTTCTAACATGTTTTCTTTATATAAATGACTGCTTAATTTAAACATGCCAGTTTTGGTCACTAATGCTGGTTAATTTATACAGCTGACAATAATAGCTAGTACTAGCTACCCTAGTAGCTATCCTTTTGATGCATTTCGGGATTTCTTCGATTTACGGCGTACTTACTCGTTGCCCCTAGGACGGTTGACAGATAAAAGAACGCCCAAACCTCATTTGAGCTTACCACCTTACAAAACCACTGACACATATAAGGACACCCACACTGATTGAGTACGAAATTCGCCTGCACTTTGAGACGATACCCAGACATGAGTCTTTGAAATGCCGATTGTGTAGTGCAAATGTCCGTAACGAATGCACTCCTTACGAATTCTTGTTAGTAACGAGAGTTCAGAACTTCAGCACTCGAGTTCTAGCTTGAGGACGCTCTCAAGGACGTGAAGTATGAAGTCTGACGGCATTGAATAAAAATGAGGGGAAAAGTGGCATCGTTGGGGCTATTTAATCGCGAATAGATAAGATAAGAAATATGTTTTAGAAAGGTATTGCACGATACTGTACAAAATATACACTAGATGTAACAAGCCCATTTGTAATACACATTTGGCATGTGAATACCGATACCAAACCTAATACCAACCAAAGCCGTGGGGAAATACCGAAACCGAACCAACTTGGAAACATAAGGGAAATACCAGCTTTTTACCAATTTCTCAGCCTCTTATTACATGAGTGAGGGTTCATAATGCCAACAAAATTCCAAACACGTAAGGATTGAAATACCAAACACCAAGTCGGTATCGGTTTGGTATCGGTATACCAAAAAGTTGGTATCCGATTGACATCTCTAAGTAGGATAAATTAACCCTCTTATTATCCCCTGTTTATTTTAGAAGTAGGATAAATCAACCCTCTGATCATCCCTGTTTATTTCAGTGGTACTACTACTGTCTCAGGCGGGAGTCCGCGCCCGCAAATGGAAATGCCTCAGCAGGATGAATTAACCCTCTTGTTATTCCCCTTGTTAACTGCAGTGGTACTACTACCGTCTTCGGCGGGAATCGGCGGGTCCTCCCCGTGGCCTAGTGGATAAGGCGTCCGTCTCCTAGCTCGGTGGCAGCGAGTTCGCGGCCGGGAAGCTCCACGTTGTTTGACCCGCGTTCCTATATTAAGCCAGCTGGCAACTGGCGAGAGAGGGCCACGCTAGACCCGGGAGGACCGTGCCGCCATCTACCTGCGGCACGTTAAGCTTTCGATCCAAATTATCACCGGTGAACCGGGCGCGGGCAATGTGGGGTGGTGGGTCCGTGGTGTCATTCGCAACAAGCACTGCTTAGCGGGGCACTCGGGCCCATAGCCACCCATTCATCCATTCGGACAAAATTTCTATAAAAAAAAAATCGGCCCACGAATAGAAGTGCCTCAACAGGATAAACTAACACCCTTATTATTCCCCTTGTTAATTGCAGTGGTACTACTACCGTCTGCGGCGGGAGTCAGCCCACGAATGGAAGTGCCTCAGCAGGATAAACTAACCCTCTTATTACTCCCTTGTTTATTCCAGTGGTACTACTACCGTCTTCGGCGGGAATCGGCCCACGAATGGAAGTGTCAACCCGATAAATGGCTGCCGCCGGATCTGGAATGGCACGAGATCAAAATCGGATCCATCTCACTCTTCATTGGTGAGCATTCACGGGATCAGAACTGAGTCCAGGCTGGGGGATTACTATTTCTTAGTGAATATTCAAATAGAGCTCAAGATATCATCCATTTCGTTCTTCATTGGGATGTCCCCTTATGGTGGATTTCAATCCAAGTGAAATTGTGAATAATGTATTAAATATTTTCGTGTTTGATGGGACAGGGTAAATCTACCTGTTCAATTGACGTTTTGAACTAGTGGTAACATCCCTGGTAACACTGTTACCACCCGCAAGTTAGTAACACACTATTTACCTACTTGCTAACAACTGGTTACCACCACACTGTTATTACCACCCACAAGAAACACGCTTTGCTTTCCCTTGCGTGACCCGGTAACTCTGGTGACAGCGCCTGGTAACTATTATTACCACCCACAGGTAACACACTCTCTGCAGCCCTGGTAATTTGGATCCTCAATGACGGCTACAGCACAGTGTATTATAACATCTCAGATTACGGGTGGACGTGGTTCCTTCTCAGCTGGCCACTGATCTTCTGCTACCAGGTGAACGGGGTAGTAACGGGGGGACGCAGGTTCGATTACCGGAGATGACGTAATTTTATAGTTTTAGCGGAGCAGCGAAAAGTTCCACGATTTCGATCAAAGTGCTAGTTTTGTGCTTAAAGTGTGTTAGGTATATCGTTATTATTTGGGTTCATGTGCTGATAAGGTTGTCTGTGATAAAAAACGATTAATTTTATGTAATAGGTAATGACTGGACTCCAGAGCACACGAAAAACAATATCACTTTCGAAACGTAACTAAACTAATATTTTCACAATAATCTGATGTTTCTAACAGCATATAAATTAAGGATTTATATCTGAATTGTACCTCTTACCATTAACTGCATAAAAGTGCGACATTCGCTCGCAGCCCCGGTGACAATTGCGAGCGCTCGCTCGCATCCATCGCTATCGCCACACTTACGCCACTCCCATGCTTTCTCTCACTAACACCCCCCCCCCCTCCCCTTTCTCCACAGGACTATCTCACCTACCTAACCCACCGGCTCTACCACACGCCCTTCCTCTACAAACACTTCCACAAACTACACCACACCTACAAACAGCCGACGGCGTTCAGTGTCACCGCCATTCATCCCTTCGAGTTTGTACATGTGCAGGCGATCCTCGTCAGCCCAATGTTCTTCATGCCGGTGCATTGGGGTGAGTTATTATGACGTCATTGGGGTATAGTGTTTGTGGGGTGCATTGGGGCGAGTACGTAAATAGGTATGATGTCATTGGGGTATGTTATTGCGCCGAGACCGGTTTTAGGAACATAAAATTCGACGGCTGCGGCTATTTACTTATTTATTTATTTATTTATTTACTTATTCATTTTTTGTCCCTAACGTCGCCCACGAGCTTTGCCAGCCAAGCGAAAAAAACGTTTAATGATATTTTTACATCAGCGTTTTCTTTCGGGCGGCTGGTGAAACTCGTGGGCGACTTGAGCACAAAATAATAACAGTCGGATATTTTCCTGTTGGTGAAACTGGCCAGTGCGTACCTAGGTACCCTGTTGGAGTGAATATCTACACATGACGTTATTAGAAATAAGTCGATGGGGAGTGAGGTGTATTTGTCTTGACTGTTAGTTCACTGGCGTGAGTAGATCCATGTCATGCAATAAAAATTTAAAACCCATGATCCTTTTCAAGTATCAAAAACATCAATATCTCTCAGATGTAACCGCTATCATGACGTCACCACGACCTGACGTCATCATCACATGACATCACCACCGCGCTCCATCACCTTCCCCCCCCCCCCCAGTGACAATGACGGTCTTGATGCTGTACATCTACTACCACGGCATCGTCGACCACTCGGGTATCAACTTCAAGGCGCACTGGTGGCAACCATGGCAACCGGATTGTTTGTTCCATGATAATCATCATCAGTACTTCCATGTCAACTTTGGGTTCAACGCCTTCGCCTGGGACAAGGTAAGAAGGGGAGAGAGAGAGAGAGAGAGAGAGAGAGAGAGAGAGAGAGAGAGAGAGAGAGAGAGAGAGAGGGAGAGAGAGAGAGGGGAGAGAGAGAGGGATAGAAAGGGAGAGAGAGAGAGAGAGAGGGGGTGGGCCGTGGGGGAGTCTGGGAGGGACAGAGAGAGGGAGGGACAGAGGGAGAGAGGGGCAAAGGGAGAGAGAGAGAGAGGGAGGGAGAGAGAGGGGAAAGAGTGAGTGAGTGTGTGAGAGAGGGGAGCGAGAGAGGAGAGTATCAGCCAGATCTGTCTCATTCACGGCACCCATTGATTCATTCACTTATCATTACAATCCCTTTCCCCATACGCTTTTTTCTCCCCCCAGTCGCTATATTCCTCAATCAACCCTTCCAGGGCCTTGAACCCTTCTACCAACCCGTTATTCTCACTTCTACCCCCAGATCCACGGCACCTACCGTCGCAAGGACCGCATTTACCGGGAGGACATCTACTACGGAAAGGGAAAGGAACTGGAAAAATGCACTGAAGAGGAGCTCTCCGAAGAAATGAGCGAGCGAACCTCGGAAAACGTGGCAGCTTACCAGAGCGAGGCCGACAAGCAAGAGATGGTTCAGACGGTGCAGAAACGGATGAAGAAGCCAGCTGGCCAATGACGTAATATGACGTCATTGGGGGAAAGGTGGAATAGGACAGAAGGGACGAGGTCGGGGGATGGTTTTGTTGTGTGGCATCTGCTGGAGAACCTATGGACGAAGATGTGTCTTAGCCCGCTTACTTACTAAGGGCTGTGGAATTGTTTGACCTACTCCTTATGACTACAACTAGAAATATTTATGATGTTTATCCTGGACCTTTACACCGTTTTGTAGAATGGTTCTGCTTGTTTATAGAGTTAATCATTGTTGTAATTCGGCATTAGACCGATCCTTTTACCTAACGGCTGAACAATAAGACGCGACTATAGTCATGTTTTAGCACTTAAATACTTGATTATCAATGCTTGAACCGGTTATTTATGAGGAAAAATAGTATATTTAGAAGCGAAACGTCTCCGCAAAACTGATTATTCATGAGTGAAGCCTGATCTTGTCTGTTATGATGTACCGTATTCTAATTTGTTGAACGTGTTGTGATGCCTGATAAATATACAGGGTGTCCCATAAGTTCGTTCTCACATTATGTTTCCATGTGAAACAGAGTACATTGCGTTTTGGTATATTTATGACCCCTCAATGTGCTCCCCATTTAATAGGCAAACACATGAATGCATGCTGCGGCATGCCAACCGGCATGTTTGGCTGCATAGCAGGCTTAAAGTTAACCCAGACTGACTTGACAGGCGCCGTGAGCTCCTCGAGGCTGGAACAGCGCTACGCTTCGACGAGCCTAATTTTCAGCATAACCAACAAATTTTTATGAAATTTTGATCCGATGAGGTGCCTGGCATGTGATCTTGCCACAAACGCCTGTCACAGTCTCCTTGCACCGCTTTTAAGCTTTGCTTGACCTGTGCACTGATGCACTGTCTTGCCTGAAGATGGGCCTACGACCTCCCGGATGCCATTTTCTCCTCTATAAATGTGTTCACTGTTCATACTCGCGGTTCGAGTTCAGCTTGAGGGCTGAAATTCCTCCTAGATGTTCTTGGAAAAGCATTCTGCTTCCCAAAACTGTTTCTGGGTTGCCACTTGTAACTTGATCAACTCCAGAACGCCTATAACCCCACAACACAGTGACCCTGGCCTTTTGCATAGGAACATAACGGGACGAAATGAAGGCCTCCTCCTTCGCCCTTATGGGGTTGTTTTCGGGTTTGGACGGGTGTTTCATCTCGAACGTGGACTAGTTAGTCCCTCTAGTTTTGTTTAGCCTCAGGCATAACGAAACTCATGTTTGGCCATTTTAAGACGTTTTTGACTGTTTTGTGCCCTCCGGTAAGCAAAGCTTAAGTCACCTTGAGTTATGTACCCCGAAAGAACACTCTTAGACAGCTGGTAATCCATCCTGAAAAGTCTGTTTACCACTACTTCCTAACCCTTTGACCTTTTTGATGGCCACTTTGGCGCCACACAGTTTTGGCCACTTGGCTCATTCCTGAGGGCTGGCTAGAAAGAGGATAAACTTGCAGTGATTGACTCCCAACAAATCATCGGCGTCACTTGCTGACTGTGCGTCCAGTTAGCGATGGATATTGGCTACAGACTGGTAGGCCTCAATCACCCTCAATCGTCGCGAATGGTCACGTGCTGACTAAATACTGAGACGTACCCGTATCGGAGACCTCTATGTTGCGGCGTTAGCCGTCTCTGTAGGAAGCGGGCTCTCTAGCAAAAACTATTTTGTCTACAGAAATTAGCTACTGTGGAGCATATTTCTACCAGCCATGGCAACCATGTAAGCTCAGTTACGAACCAATTTCAGCGTGCCTTTAAGCAAGAAAGCCTAAAAACGTAAAATTTAGGTGAGAACGAACTTATGGGACACCCTGTAATACTTGTTACATGTTGATAAACAATATATACACAAGCTTGGAGCAGTGTCATCCTCCTTCCGATCCAAAACGAAAATACCGACGGATCCATTCCTCCTCGGTAATAAAACCACATCTTCAGCAAATGCCTATATAAATTTTCGCTCTCCTCGAATCCTGGTAGTTCAATTAGGACAGAAACGCATCAGGAAGCGAATTGCAAGGCGGAATATTTTTTTGTTGTTTATTGGGGCTTTAGGGCGCGCCGACTGCGAAGGTCATTTTGCGCCCATAACGTCAAGGCGGAATATGGATTAGCTTGTCCACAATTTTTTCGACACTGAACTTCTCAGCAGTTAATCAAACACTGATACCCACGCGGAAGCTAAATATATTGTCACCCCCCAAACACTACACAAAACTCAAAAGGTGGCAGCGGTCGAACGTCATCCCTCCAGCATATTTCCACGTTCAACCACACACTACTTATTTTACGATAAATGTAGCAGCATCAGCCAAACGTTTGACCATTTTCTCCAAGTCACAAAACAGCAACTCGTTAATGGGCATGGCCGCGCGCGGATATCGGTCTTTATCATTACAGAGCCCGATGTTTCTAACGATAAATACTTTGAGAAAATATACCACTATCTTTTAGTAAACGTTCATATATTCTACCACACCTTGCCGTCATTTTTAACGATCACAATGATCTTGGAACACCATTCCTCCACCAGATCGCAGCGGTATCATCCCAGGAATCTATGACGTCATCGCACATCCACCAATCAGCTTCCAGCTGTCGCTAGCATTATGCGGTAGCGCCGTAGCCTCGATTGACGTCATAGTGACGTCACAACTTCCTCTGGAGGCACTTCCTCAGTAGATTCCCCATTTCACGAGCACTAGCGAATGTGGTGCTTCTTGCTAGCGGAAATATCCGGCGAAGCAGTACAGAATCGCGTGCTTTAGTTTATCGGTTTTCCGCCAGGGCGGAGCGAGCGCAGACCCAAAGCCATAGCCGCTCACACCGCAGTATTGGCTCAAAGCCGAAGTCGGCGGCCGGCGGCCGGTCGGCACAGGCTCCCCCCACCGCCGGCAGCCAACCAATCAGAGGACGCCCCGCGACAGCCGGCTCCTCCCACGTCATGTTTCTGTCACCTCATTGGCCACTCGATGAATATCGAGCGCTGTAATATGGCTAGATCCGCACCTGGAATCGGCATAACATGGGAGTCAGCATGTTTCCATACATACACAGGCGAGATCTATATATGGCCTTGGGCGAGATAGCCTAGACGCAAACTATTTATGTTTATCTATTGTTTAAAAACAGCATCAAGTTCTATTACTTTTTGTAAAATAATCACCAAAATGAATCAATCATCATTGTTCATCAGCCATGGAACGTAATTTCAGCGACTTTAGTCGCCAAAAAAAATTATACGTAAAAGCTTTGCCCCGCACGGGATGCGATCCCACACCCCTTCACTAACCTGCATCTGTGCTGCGATCTGCAGTAGACTCTTTATCCCCGGCATAAAGCCAGCGATCTCCGCCATATTGGAAGCTGCCACCAGCGCATTCAGCTGCTGCTGCGCTGACGCCCAATCAGAACACTGCAGCCAGCCAATCAGCTGATGGAGCCCTTGAATAGTTCCTGGGGAGAGGCTAGAAGCACGAAGCATGTCGTAGAGGACCTCTAGCCGGCGAGAGACCTCTTCCAGGCGGCGCCGGGCCTGGGCCGTGGTGGCGGCGGCAGCGCAGGTTTCTCGGAGACGCTCCAGGGTGTCCTGGAGAGGGGCGTGTTCTGGTGGTACCGGACCTGTGGAGGGGATAATGTCAATTACTAGACACTGGACAGAACAGAAGTCCGCTCTCTAGAAGCTGGGTGACTACTTCGAGAGTATCAACTCTACTTTTGATCTAAGGAAGCCTAAAGGTTAATATCAAATTACCTTAGCGGCTAAAACCCTCAAATTTAAATATTGGCGAAGATTGGTATTTGGCAGACACCCGTTGAGGCGTTGACGTCATTTTTCAAGGTCACCGATGTAAACAAACGGCAAATCATTCTACCTCCTATATACGGCCTTGGGCGGTGGCATTCCCTACCTTTAGGCGGCGGTGGTTCCTGCGGTGCTGGCGGCGGCGGGGTGGGAGCTGCGGCAGCTGGTGGCTGCTGCTGCTGAGCTGCTGCTATCGGCTGGTACGGGGAGTACTGTCCAGACGGAGCCGGCTGGTACATGCCCGCCATCTGTCGGTGGGGAAACGAACTTAAGCTTCAGCGGCGGACACCAAGCGGCGCTATAGCAACGACCCATATCGCGTGTCCTAGGCAGACTGGCGCAAACAGTCCAGAGTCTATACCCTACTGGTAATTGACACCATAAAAATATCAGGCAACTTGATCAGTTCTATAGTACATCGTTGGTAGTATGCAGGAAAGCATAGGTACATTTTCACTTGAATTTGCCGCATGTGAGCAGGATATATTTTCGTCCCAGTGCGATATGAAACAAAGCCCTTCAGAAATTCAAAATAAAAACAGAGAGTCGTTGGATATACCCCAAAATACAGTCAAAGCCAGAACCATTAAGACAACTTTCCCGTCCACAAAACCAGCCTCTCGGCTCCCTATGATCTCCAATCCCCGAACCAGCCTGTTGCCAGTCACACTCCCTCCCAAACTCTCTCCCAAACTCTCTCACTTACCAGATCCACTCGGCTCACTATGCTCTTCTCTGTAGCCACGCTCCCTCCCGCCTCCCTCCCCTCCCCCTCCCACTAACCGGATAGTGCTGTCCGGGCGGCGGCTGGGCTGCGGCTGCCGCAGCCATCTCGGCAGGGTTGTAGATAGGCTGGGTCACAGTCTGTAGGACTGATGTGGTAGACGTGGTAGTCTGTGGAATAGAAAGATAGATAGATAGATAGATAGATAATGTATTAAGACCCTCCATGACATGGATTATATACTATATAGCGTCTACGTCAGTACAAAAGTGGTGATTAAAACACATCAATACAATACACTTCGTGTGATAAAAGGCGATAAATGAGACAGTAAAAAACGGCCGTTGCTATAAAAATCGCACCCAATCTAAGTAAGCTCCAGCTTCATCGCAGCATTCAGAGCCTTCACCGCACGGTAGAGGAAACTGCGCTTGGCAAACTCAGAAATGTAGATAGAACGGGTTAGAACATATGTAAAAATATATAATTTTCATGAAGATTCATAGTATTTAAGACTAAGCACAGTCGAAGAAGAGACAAAATTATTTAAGTGCCGTGACCCGGATATAGAGGGAATTGCAAACATCGCATTTGTTTGTTACTTTCCCCAATACTCGTCACCTCTCTGCATACTTTGACGCTCCTTGTGTTCTAGCAGCAAAGCGTAATGTAGCTAAATGTCAACCCTGTGCTATTGCTAATAACAGTCGAGGAATGCGACTTCCGTACCTTTTTCGACGACCTCCTCAGCGGCGGCGGGTCGTTCCAGCCGGGCCCGCTGCTAACAGCAGTGATGATCGGACCAGCCCCCGCCGGCGCGGCGGGGGGAGGCGCGGCTCCAGCACCGGCGCCGTAGTCAGTGCCTGCGGGAGGTGGGGGTAAAAGGGGGGGGGGGGTAAAAAGTCAGGTTTGAGGGTGTGTGGATTGTGGAGGCTAATAACGTCCAAAGAGAGCGAGCAGTTGTAGTAAGTCGCAATTATACATGATGCTTAAAAACATGACGCATATCTGAGAAAAGAGCAGCACAGATTCATCTGCAGTATGTATAGCACATAAAAGATACAAAACCAGAACTTAGCTGGTTGGCAGGTCAATGACTTGGCCAGGGCAACTGGAGTTGGCACGAGGGGCTGTAGCACTGGCTGGGTGAGGTCAAGTCAGAGGTCTGGTCAGGACCAGTGTCTAACCTGGGGTCTGGTCACAGGTCTTACCAGGGATCTAGTCAGAGGTCTAGTCAGGGGTCTATTCAGGGGTCTAGTCAGGGGTCTAACCAGGGATCTAGTCAGAGGTCTAGTCAGGGATCTATTCAGGGGTCTAGTCAGGGCTCTTTTCAAGGTCAATGACCTATTAGTGCCGCTAGAGTTGGCACGAAGGGCTGTACCGCCGCCTATGTAAGGTCTCGCCAGGTGTCTAGTCAGGGGTCTAGCCCGGATTCTATCATGGACTACTGACCTGCCGGTGCCGCCAGAGTTGGTACGAAGGGCTGAACGGCCGGCTGACTCTGAGCGGGGTACGGCTGCGGCTCACTGAAACAACAAAACTATGTTTATTTAACATCATAACAAACATAAAACAACATTCAGTTCAGCGCCGCTATCAGCTCGATCAACATAAGAGTACACACAGATGTGTTCCCAACAAGTTTAGTGTACCTGTGTAGAATGGTGACTGACTTTTCAGTATCTCAGATAAGCGCCGAAAAGTTGAACTACATAGCTCTCACGCCGCACCATAACCCAGTATTATACCAAAACTTAGCCGTAACACAATGATGACGATTTGGGGATTTAGGGCGTACGGATTGCGACGGTCATCCACGACCACAAGCCATAGCCCCTTCTCTCGCCGCCCGTCCTGCCACCTGGCGGCCGTTACCTGAAGCTGGGTGTAAATACGGTGGCGGCCGCAGTCGGTGCTGCCATCTGTCCGTAGGGCGCCGAACTGACCGGCGCCATGCTGCAAGAAAACACACCATAAATTCAGTTTAAAATGAACATTCTCTGGTCTTCGTTAAAGAATTAGGAGCTTTTCATACCTAATCAGATATCTTCCTCAGCACTGGTAACGTTATATCTACATAATCATCTGGCTGCATCATCTGATCGTTCAGAATATGGGTCGCGTAATTCGAAGTCATTTAGAGAAAGAAACTACAACGCAGCAGCTGGCAGCACTTTAAAAAATCAATGAATCGCACATAAACAATCGCTCTTTACAACACCACTTACAATATATACCGCACAAAGTTCCCCTTTTCTTTTTCCCTCTCTCTCTCTCTGTCTCTGTCTCTGTCTCTGTCTCTGTCTCTCTCTCTCTCTCTCTATCTCTCTATCTCTCTATCTCTCTCTCTCCCTCTCTCTCACTCTCTCTCCCTCCCCTCTCTCCCCTCCCTCCCATCCCTCTTACCTTCCATATCCCTGTGAACTCATCCCGTACCCCCCAGCCGCTCCGGCCAGGCTGGGGTCCGCTGCGTACTGACGCCGACCTCCCAGACGATAGCCGGAGCCGGAGCCACCAGACGGAGGCGCTGACGGCTATGGGGTGAAGGGTCACGTCAGGTCAGGGTCAAATGTGAGGGTCAGAGGTCGTGTACACTTAATTACGCGAAATTTAGGCGGCAGTACACACATTTCGGTAATAGTGCGAGCGATTCCGACAGTATGCTATGCCCGGGTCCGTCAATGGCGAACTGTCCAAATCGGTTGCACTATTAGTTACCGAACTGTGTGCACCATGTCCATGTTTGGCCGTAAAAGGTGTAGAACTACTCAAGTCGGCGTACTGTCGCCGCCCTCCCAGACGATATGCGGAGCTCGTGCCACCAGAAGGAGGGGCAAATGGCTGGGGAGTTACAGGGTAGAGTAGAGCTGTAGAGTAGAGTAGAGTAGTAGGTACCATGAGAGTACCTATTACTAAATGACATTCACTTTGTGTACCACACTGAGTCCCTCGTAGCCATGTGAACCACTAAATAACCAATTAACCATTAGCATATTTCCAATAACCAATTGACCATTTATCCCAAACAGTAACCCCATAACACTAACACCTTGTCAGCACCAAATTACTCCCTCAATACAACACACCTAACTTCCCCTTATCCCCCTAAATAAACCCTATCCCTTCTATTTACCTGAGCAGCTGGGGTAGGCACTAAAGGAGCCACTGGAGCCACTGGTGGCTGGAACGCCCCAGCCGGCTGCTGGAACGTCCCAGGCTGCTGGAACGCTCCAGTCTGTGTATGGTGCGGCTGGGCCGGTTGCTGGGAGTAGGAGGACATTCGACTGTCGCGGGCTGATGGAACGCCTGGGGACGGCTGGCCAGAGTGCATCTGTTGAGGGAAGGGGGAGTGTCAGCGTATGGTAAGTAGCGGGGTCTGAAAGATATGACTGATTTGATTGATCAAGGAACTAGAAAGCATATGTCTGCATTCACAGACCTCTGTATACCGAGGTCTATACCGAGACATATAGAGGTTTGTGACGTCTTCTGAATGCTTGAGACGAGGTGTTATTATCACTGATGTTATATCACGATTATCACGAGGTGTTATATCACTGATATCTAGTCAAGCCTGACGAAAGTCCGACAACTAACATCAGGTTTATGACTACATTATAAACAAAGATACAAATATTGTTTGATGATGACGATTTGTAGTTTTAGGACGCCCGGACTTCAAGAGGTCGTCAGCGCCTATACAAATGGTTCTTGTTTCGTCTGAGTCTACCCAAGCATTATACCCCAGGACACCTGCTTAAAAAGTTCAAGTTGAAATCGATTAAACATGAAATCTAGTCGTCAAGCCAGCCTAGCCGAGCAAGAATTAAGCAACAACAGTGGCACCCTTCCCATCCCAGCGATCCACCCACCTCAGCCCACACAACCGACAACGTATAGTCACAGTGTATATAAATACGTATAGTAACCATCAACACTGGTTGCCCCCTGGGACCAGACCAAAACCGTCCTATCATCCGTCTACCTAAAAAACTTGGTTGACAACAACCAACCCCTCAAGTGAGCCACCAGGCTGGTCACCCTCATGATAATCATGGTAGAAAACCAGCCCCAACCACTCAACCACAATCCACCCTACCTGATAACCATGACTAAAATTAGAACCGCCGCGCAACCACCACCCCACCTACCTGGTAGCCCCGGTTGGCCGCCGGTGCCGCCGCGGGGGCCGCAGGGAACCTCGCAGCCGAGGCAGTCTGTCTCTGATACTGTCCCGCCCCCACGGCCGGGGCAGGGGTCAGACAGTGCTGAACCCGCTCACAGAGAGACACGGCGGCCGGCTGTAGAGGGGGGGGGGGGGGAGGGGTCGGGTCGGTGGGGCGGCGTCATAGACGGTGGGGAGGGATAACTACGCCAGTTTTCAGGGGTTTGGACCCTTCGCCAGCCGTCATTTTGCGTCAGACTACAGAGCGATCGAAATGATAAAATGACAGAAAGCGGTAACGATATAGAGGTTAACTCATCTCGCAAATAGCACTGTTTGCCACATGCTATAAAACAGCATACCTTACAGCTATGCAAGAACAACATCAAATACAAAAAAACTGTTCCGCAATTTAAACAACAAATACAAAAACGTAACAGTAAAAGTGAGGAAACACTTGCATCAGGATCACCATCTCCACTAGCCACTGGGTACTAATTTAAAAATACACTATGGTGCACGAAAGGCACATTACACAAATCGTAGACCACTCACATCCGTACAGTCTCCCAGATATCCGAGCGCCGTTTCGAGGCTGCCCTGTGACGTCAGCAACTGAGCATAGCGCAGTAGTTTGTCCTGCATGCCGCCAGAGGTCAGCGCGGTCGCCGTGCCGGCCACTTGGTTGGCACGGAACAGGGTCATGGCTTGCTCCATCAGATCCTGTGGGGAAATGGGAGGTTAGTTTTATCAAATATATGCTCTAGAATCCAGATATTGTACGGATCGTTTTCTGTGGGTCGGGCATTTGCCGTCGATCACCAGTAAAGCACTTCCTACTTCTGAAGCTTGCAATTCTTCGGATATTATGAGCTCTGGAAACAATACTTTCTAGATGTCACAGACACTCGACTTAACTGCAAGCTCTGGGGTCATTTATGACCTTTGGACAAATATAAACTCTGGACAGTGGACACCATGAGTCTGTTCTCGAAGTCATAAGATATAGCTAAGATATCGACATTACGAGCTGACGAAAATATGAACTCCGAAGTCCGAACACTATAACCCCCCACCCTCCCCTCCCTGGAATTAAACATTACAAGCTCTTAACCATCCCACCCTCCAACTCTCTCCCTCCATCCCCCCACTCTTTCCCTCACCTACAGAGCATGCGGCGACGTGGCGTCAGGCCTCGTCCATTCCCCAAACACTGTACGAGTTGTTCAGTCCTCCCCAGCACACTCACACCTCCTACATTCTTACACTCTACCATCTGAGCCATCCCACCCTCTCTCTGTCTCTGTCTCTGTCTCTGTCTCTGTCTCTGTCTCTGTCTCTGTCTCTGTCTCTGTCTCTGTCTCTGTCTCTGTCTCTGTCTCTGTCTCTGTCTCTGTCTCTGTCTCTGTCTCTGTCTCTGTCTCTGTCTCTGTCTCTGTCTCTGTCTCTGTCTCTGTCTCTGTCTCTGTCTCTGTCTCTGTCTCTGTCTCTGTCTCTGTCTCTGTCTCTGTCTCTGTCTCTGTCTCTGTCTCTGTCTCTGTCTCTGTCTCTGTCTCTGTCTCTGTCTCTGTCTCTGTCTCTGTCTCTGTCTCTGTCTCTGTCTCTGTCTCTGTCTCTGTCTCTGTCTCTGTCTCTGTCTCTGTCTCTGTCTCTGTCTCTGTCTCTGTCTCTGTCTCTGTCTCTGTCTCTGTCTCTGTCTCTGTCTCTGTCTCTGTCTCTGTCTCTGTCTCTGTCTCTGTCTCTGTCTCTGTCTCTGTCTCTGTCTCTGTCTCTGTCTCTGTCTCTGTCTCTGTCTCTGTCTCTGTCTCTGTCTCTGTCTCTGTCTCTGTCTCTGTCTCTGTCTCTGTCTCTGTCTCTGTCTCTGTCTCTGTCTCTGTCTCTGTCTCTGTCTCTGTCTCTGTCTCTGTCTCTGTCTCTTCTGTCTCTCTCTCTGTCTCTCTCCTCTCTCTATCTCTCTCTCCTCTCTCTCTCTTTCTCTATCTCTCTCTATCTCTCTCTCTCTCTC